AGCTGAGTGGGTGGATTGCTTGAGCTCACAAGATTGAGACAAGCCTGAGGGAAAAAGTAAAACCCTGTCTCTACTAAAAATAGAAAAAACTGAGGCAAGAGGATCTCTTGAGCCCAAGAGTTGGAGTTGCTGTGAGCTATGACACCACAGCACTCTCCCCAGGGTGACCGCTTGAGACTCTGTCTCAATAAAAAAAAAAATTAAAGGGTAAAAATGCATGTTTAGGACACTGGCCCCATATGCCAGAGGTGGTGGGTTCAAACCCAGCCCAGGCCAAAAGCTGCAAAAAACCAAAAAATAAAAAAAAGAAAAATGCATGTCTATTCCAACATGAGCCACCTTGTCAGCATTTCTATCCATGGGAAAAAGCGATAACTTTTAAAGACTCTTTTCTAGTTACATGGCAAAGTATAAACAAACTAAGGGGTCTCAAGAGGTCATGATCCAAATTGTGGGGAAAAAAATCTCTATCCCTTGACACTTTCTCTCCGGCTCTTCTTCATATTCACAGTGACTCCTCATCCTCTGCCAATCCATTACATCTCATACGTAGATCCCCAAATCCCACTGGCGGTGGCTACCATTTGTTTTGTACACGCTGTATTTGTCTATGCATCTATAGATTTTCCATGGGTCATTTGATCCACTGTGATCATCTCTAGTCAGTACTACCAAATTCGTATCTCTAAGCCAGAATTTACCCCTAGATTCAGAATCAAATCCAGCTGCAGGTTGTCTTTTGACCCCTGTGCATTCATGCATGCTGCTTCCCAGGCTCACTTATACCTACTTCTGTCTCCTGTGTCCCCTTCCCACAAGCCAGTGTTTACACCAGGTTGACTGACTGAGGAATCCCAGGCCCTGATCTTATAACACCTTGGCCATCCTCCTGTCTTTATAGGTAGGCTGTTACATTATCTTCCTTTTGAGTGAGTGTTCCACAATAGACAGGAAGTTTTTTGACAGCTGGTTACAAATCATAAATAGAATACCTAATATTACTCCATAATTCATAGAACAAGCAATTTACCTTTTTAATCTACGTGGGTGCACGTAACAGGTCATGGACTTGAAACTAGGCTTCTTCAGGGACAAATAAACTCAGCTTCACAAGTTTTAATCATTTATTAGTTTCTTTTCTGTTACACATTGAGTTGTGGATGTCCTATAACTAGTAAAATAGCCACCAAAATTGTTTTTATGATTTTTTATCACAAAATCACAAGATTGCTAGAATGTCATGTTTACCTATGGGTCCCATAATCACTGCTATTCACTCTCAATATACTTTCATAAAGAAACAAGAAGAGATACTTTCATTGAGCACATTTCCATATGGGAAACTCAGTGCTGTCAGCATTCACATATTTCATTGAATCCTCCCTCCCACCCACTGCAGTAAATTATTATTACACCCATTTGAGAGACAAACTGAGGTTTAAAAAGATTGAGTAACCAAAATCAGATAACTAGTAAAGAATGTGACCCTAAGTCTCCTTTCAGAGAGCTTGAATACTTAAACATCATTATACTTGACCTTTCAGCCACTGGAAGGGGCTATGTGAAGAGTTTTCATACAGTATGCCAATCATCACCAATTATGGGGCCTGACTAAACCTTTTGATTCAGGCAGACAAAACTAAACAGACCAATCCTCAGGAACATAAAGATAAGACTGGCCCTGCAGGAAAAACAAAGATCAAACAAATCCCCGCCAAACCACAGCCTGTCACATTGCATTTCTCTGCAGGAAAGTGCATGTGTGGGTGCATAAATAAAACTATGGATTATAAGCTGTTAAAAACCAGAATTCAGTTCCCGTAAGTTTTTGTCCTAACTCTTCTTCCTATGGCCTTGTGCTTGAAGAAATACTGGCATTTTAAATTAACAGTCATATCAGAGATCACAGGCTGAGCTGATTGTATAGTTGGTAGCATTTTTAGCTGCTAATTAATTATTCAGGTAAAAAAAAAAACTCTCAAAAACAAAAATGGCAAGGGGCTGATTGAACTTTGAGGCAGAAGTATTTGAGGATAGCCTTAGAATTCCTGGGTGGTGGTGGTGGAGGTGGCGTGGGGATGGACAGTTACTATATACTTTCTAATTGTCTACGCTACTTTCTAACATGATTAGACAGACTCCTGTGAGTCTTGAGAATAAAAGGCAAAAGTGATTTTTTCATTATAAATGACTTGATAGCCCTTGTCCTTGTTTCTTCATCACTTTGGTAGTAATCTCTCAGATGCCTCATCTCTTTAAGAAATTAAATTCAGGCTCGGCGTCCTCAGTGAGTAGGGCTCCAGCCACATACGCTGAGGCTGGTGGGTTCGAGTCAGGCCCAGGCCTGCTGAACAATGACAACTGCAACCAAAAAAAGTAGCTGGGCATTGTGGCGGGCACCTATAGTCTCAGCTACTAGGGAGGCTGAGGCAAGAGAATCGCTTAAGCCCAAGAGTTTGACGTTGCTGTGAGCTATGACACCATGGCACTCTACCCAGGGTGACATAGTGAGACTCTCTCAAAAAAAAAGAAAAAAGAAAAAAGAAATAGAATTCAAATGCCAAAATCAACACAATATACACAGGGTGCCAAAAAATATATACATTTTAAGGAAAGAAACTATAATAAACACTGTAATGCTCAATATACACCAATCATGTTTGTTATCTTGTATGTTGTATCTTGTATTTCTTATAATTGCAGGAACCAAACATGACTGTTACAATTTTATTTTATTTATTTTTATTTTTTTGAGACAGTCTTACTATGTTGCCCCTGGTAGAGCGCCATGGCTTCAGCTGACAGTAACCTCAAACTCTTGGGCTTAAGCGATTCTCTTGCCTCAGCCACCCAAGTAGCTGGGACTACAGGCGCCTGCCACAAGGCCCGGCTATTTTTTGGGTGTAGTTGTCCTTGTTTGGCAGGCCTGGGTTGAATTCAAACTCACCAGCTCTGGTATATGTGGCTGTCGCCCTAGCTGCTGGCTACAGGCGCCCAGCCCAGTGTTACAACTTTCGTTCAGTCTTTCTTTCTTAAAATGTGTATACGTTTTTTGGCACCCTTTGTATATACCTGTGTTCTGTTTCCCTGCCCACAAACGGTAACATGGAGAACTAATTCTAGTAAGTGGGCATTTATATGTGGCGCATAGTAAGTGAATAACTTCAATCCTCAAAACAGGCATCATGACTGTTTTATATTCAAGGAAACCATAAGGAGTGGAGCCAAGAGCTGAGCATTCTGGAACTTGCTTACTGCCCCATGGCATGCCTGGAGTCTGTTCTCAGGAATTAGGAGACAACAATCTGCCTCCCAGAAGAGGTGTGTTTATGGTCTGATCTTTGTACACCTCAAAGATGACCACAGGGGAGAGGAAATTCCAACATTCATTCCACAAACAGCAAGGAGACACGTACTCAGCAAAGCTGCTGATTCCTGACATTAACATATGTATCTGTCCCTTGTCTTGTCATCAGGAACCATTGAAAAACAGTGTGAGTTCCAAGAAAAAGAAAATCTGGTTGGCCTCATTCACAACAGTACTCTAATCACTCCGCACAGAGGTTTTCCATAAACACTGGGGATGAAGTAAAGTCGAGGGGGGAGAACAGGGCCAGCCACTACTAAGGATAAAGACTTTTTTTCCCCAGCAAAGTATCAACTCTAACAGGAAAGAGGAATCCAAAGATGTGAAATCTAAACTGGGATCTTTTTTGTGGGGCGTGTGGGCCAGGATGAAGTTTGCTGAGGATGGGATGGAACTAATGTTGAACTTTTAAATGGATTCCTGATCTGAGATGTGTTTCTCCCTGCATTTAAATAACTTGGCCCTATCTTGCCTTATATCTTTATTAAGGCAATACTGTGCCATTAAGTAATGCAACTCCTACAGACTTAACTGGGATGAGGGGAGGGCATGACTTAGGACTAGCAGAACATATGGGATTTCAAGCAGATTATTTGAGAAAAATAATTCCTAAAAGCATATCAGAGTTTTTTTTTTCTTATAAAGCAAAGTCAAAGTGACTCCCAAAGGAGTAGACTATGATGGAGACAAGACCATTATGAAGCTACAAACTTGAAAAAATCATTTTAAAAGCTCACGAGCATGTGTAACTCTGAGTAAAGGTGCTACACTGTTATGCAACCTTGTCAGGAAAACAAATTTCTAATCTCATGACTCATGTTTCTGTGTTAACATAGGATCGCATGCTTTCTCATTTAAAAAAAAAAAGTGAACGCAAGGGTGGTATATAAAGATAGCTGACTTCCAAATCGTGATAACATAATAGCTATTAGGCTAAAAAGAATCTCTAAGTTGATACCGTGTCATCAGGGCCACCATTCGAGGACAGAAAGTTAACTCCACCTTTTGAAAAGTACGGCTGAGGAGACAACTTCCTGCCGAAAACAAGTGTAACTTGCTAGTTCTCTTCCCAGAACTTGGTCCGGACTGCCCACAAGCAGGGCAGGAGAGAGAAGGGCCTGAGAAGGGGAAGTAATAATTCCAGAGTAGGCCGCGCCGCACCTACCCTGCCTCCCTTTGCCTTAAAGTGAGCAAAGACAGCCCCCAACCTTGTCCTCCCACAAAGCCTCAAGGGTGATCTACAAACCAAAGCAGTCCAGGGAGGCTCAAGGAAAGGCGGCAGCACCTGTCCCAGAGGTTTCCGGGTCCGTCGCCCTCCCACGGTCATCTGGCAGGTCCCCGCAACTACATAACTTTCTCGACCAAATGATTTTCACCGACTTTATTAGCTCTCGACCCCGAGCGGCCCCTTGCCGCCCACTTCTCCGCTAGATCGCACCA